TAATTGGTATTTATTGCTACTTAAATTCAAGTATACTTGTTGGCAGTTTTCACCTCGTACATCAGAGAGCCACAGCATATTGAGTTGTTGAGTTATGCCTTTTGCTGTTACATACATTTATGCTCATATGTGTGTAGACTAAAATATTTTTGTATATATAAATATAATAAATATGAGTCTCCCAGTGCTTGTGTAACATTTTCAGAAATTGCACTAGGTATCAAAAACTTTCTCGAAAATAGACGTTAAGGCGGTCCTCCCCTGATTTTGAATCAAAAAATCGATTTTTTTACGCTAAAAATTAAAGCCAAATATTTGTACAGTATGTGTTTGCATGTATTTTGGAATCAATATTTTTCAAATGGCAGCTTCTCGAACACACCTGTCTCACGCACGCACGCACGCAAGGAAAACTTTAAAAAAAAAACTTTGAACGCGTTTTTCTCGAAATCAAATTTTCTGAACTAACTTCAAGAACCGGGCCTGATCGGTAATCGGGCGGATTTCTTTTAACTAAAAGATGTTTCAAAGTATATAGTTTTTTGTACGATTTGAGCCTAAAATTATCATGAGTAATTCAATGTTCATATTTTTTAACGTCATTGAAGTGAAAAAGTAGCAAAAGTTTTAACTTTATAATTGCAATGAGCAATATGCAATAAATTTATAGTAAGAATTGTTTCAATCCAGGTTCAGGATGAAGGAAATTTCATGATTTTCAAGTAATGACAACGATTTTCGACTACAAAAGGCTATAGGCTGGAAGTTGTTGAGCCATATTTTTTGCGCAGAGGCCAATGGAAGCGCCATTCTGTAGCCGCCATTTTGAATTTCGACATTTTTAAAATCTCAAATAATAAACAAATTTAATACCAGAAGCTCTTACATCTTTTCATTCGCCCACAAAAAAGAAAAAATACAAACTTTGCCTGATTTTTTCCCAATATCCGGGGAGGCTCCCCTTAACGTTTGCTCTTAAAACTGCTGCCAAAGTTTTAAGGGTAAACTTGAATTCATATAAAGCAGTTCATCCTCAACTTCAACAACGATGCCGAAATAATCATTTATGCTGCGTGGTTTTGAAGTTGAGAAGTCATCTAATTTTTAGTCCCGCTTAATTGGAGCCTCTCCGACATATTCGGATTAAGTTTGCGCTGAAGTCTAATTACAGCGTCCATTCACCGGAGGTACAGCTGTGAGTGAGCATCGCTCTTGAAGTAAGCGGTTTGCTATATAAATGTGATCTAAATTGCCTAGCGAGATTTTTTCCCTGGTTTTGGGACTCACCCGTAGAAATCAGCTTGAATAAAAAAGTCTCGCAACGCGTCGCCTGAAATATCCCCTATCGATGACGAGCACTGCAAACGTATGAAAGAATATGATTTAAGAGCTTGCACCTGGAATATTCAGTTCCTTTATTGAGAGAGACCAACATCACTGCCGTTTAAGTAGTGAAATGGACTGAACAAGTACGGATACGAGTTGGTCCTCATGAAATTTGCTACAGCGGCCATACAAACGAAATTTTTTAACATATCGCTGATTTGCGGCGACGCCCCGATGGAAGGAAAGGACGATGTAATCAGTGATATATTTTATGAGCTTAAGGCTTACTTATGCCACCCACCATGGTGTACTTGAGGCTGGGGTGAGAAATATGGTTACCACACAATAAAATTCATCTTGTTACTTGGCTATCATCAGATCGAAAACTTGAAACCAAATCGAGCATATTGTGATAGATGGATGACATATCTCCAGTGTTCTTGACCAGCCTACGCTATCTAGTAGCAGCAAGCATACATACTTGCCTCTCCGCAGCAAAGAGGAGTTTAAAAAAGACTGTCTACCTTGCACAGTTGCCGTTGATCACCACACGATTGGGATAGGATAGATAGCGAAAAATTGAGAGGGAAGGAGCACCTGCAGCCAACAAAAAAAAAAGAGATTGAGATGCGTGAGTCGAATATTCTACACCTGATCCGACTCTTGTAGAACACAGTGAGATCTACTAACTGATGCTCAAATTATACTGTATTTATGGAGGGAATACTTCTCTCGCTTGAAAATCGACAAAGCGGCGGGGTGGAGGGATGGTCGCTAATCCCCAAAAAGGAGGCTCTCACAATCTGCGCCGAATACTGCGCCAAATACTGCGTCAACAAACTGACAGGACCTTATAAATGTGGCTTTAGACCAAACATTCACCATAAGCCAAATTGTGGAAAAGACCAATTAAAAGAAATTTCGGAAACACGAAAAGGGTTGACTCTACGCCGCTATGTCTGAATTTGGTATCCCCGCAAAACTTATACGGCTGTGTACGAGGTGTGACAATAAAGTAATAAGACTAATTATATTGCCGCGACTGTGGTAACCTGTGACCTTTAAATTCATTTAGTATCCTTCTCCTCTCCATTGATATATTTTTCTGCTGTTTTGTGTTGAATAAACGTGTGTTCGTGGTGCTCGAGGCGTGGAAAATGTTGATTGTTACCTTTTTTGATAGCCGTGGAATCGAAAGGAAGAAAGAGTTTCTTCCACCGGGGCAAACCGTCAATCAAGTCTACTATCGCCGAGTATTCGAAAGATTGCAAAACGCCCATAACTGGATCCTTCATCACAACAACGCGCCGTGCCACACGGCCGTCAGCGTGTGCCAGTATTTGCCCTCTAAACTGATCTTCAACCGCTTTATTTGCTCGATATGTCACTCTATGACTTTTTTTGTTCCCTAGAACAAAATTGACGGTCAACAGAACCCAAAGCGACTTCTTATCGTGCCACTTCTTAAATTTGATGCTGGATAAAATAATAAGAGCTACAGAGCTGAATCGGAAAGGTACAACCCTCTATATGAGTGTACAGCGTTGACCGCAACAACCGCGCCGTGAGCTCTAGCATCTCTCTCAGACTACATAACGAAATGAAACGTACGGGAGTAAACTAACGAACAAACAGGCAAAACGAAATATCGAACTTGGTTCTCACGTCACTGTTAACAGACATAACTTTGAGGTCGTATAAAATATTGGCTATCTAAGGACCAGCATTAATGCCAACAACAGAACCAGCGTTGAAATCCAACTGGAATGAGTCGGAAATTAAAATGAAAAGTATTTTCTGGACGAACAGAAATTAAATTCTACAAGTCGCTCATCATTGCATTACAGTGACGTGGTATATACGATGACAACATCGGATGGTTCGGCGTTGGTAGGTTTCACGGGAAGAGTTTAGCGAAAAATGTGTGGTCCTCTGCAAGTTGGGAACGGCAAATGCCACAGCTGATGGAACGATGGTGACAGCGAATTAAGAGACAGTGGCGAAGTTGACCTATAAAGGAATACTCTAACTCTGAAAGTTTTAGCTGATGGAAGCAGATGAGTAGGAAGACCTCCACCTCGTATAAAAGATCTGGTAGGAAGGGACCTGCCTATACTCCGCGAAAAAGCGAAAAGTAGGCATGAATAGCGCAGTGTTGTTGACTCGACTAAGCAGTGCCTACACCAGCGAAGAAGAAGAAGAAGATGGATTTTAGATTAAACACTTTTAATCTCTGACATTGATCTCATGCTACTCAATAACCAAAAAAAAAGGGAAAACAAAGGAAATGTGCAAAAAATCATTACAAAAACTCTACTGGGGCGTTAACGAAGTCAACATGGACGAGAAACGCCCATATGATTTTTCATTAGCGCCAACATAAAACAAAAATTTTACACAAAAACATTAGCTCATAGCTAACAAACCAATTAGAAGACACAAACTAAATTTAGAAACGCCATTGAAAGTGAAGAACGACCGTAGATATACACAGTTTGATACATACATACGAGATGTGAGTATATGAAAGAGCGAGAGAGACTTGTATGAGGCGAAGAAATGTAAGAAGGCACGCGATAATTACACACACACGTATGAGCCAATATGTTAATATGTATGTACTTATGTGTGTACGTATGTATGCAAGTATGTTAATACTTTCGCTGCGGATCATCAACGCCGCGTTCAACGCAAAGATCATCTGTTGCACAGACATATAAAAGAAGTTCATCATTATCATGATCATGCTCTTCCTTCGACGTTTAGTGGCTTGCGTTCGTAGGGGTGCGGCAGCAAAGGTGTAGCGCTTGTTGCATACTAGTATATTTGCGGCAGGGGAAAAAGTAAAAATAAGCCACGAATCTGTGCAAACACACCGACGTTGACTCTTCCAACAAGAATTTGAAAATAATTTCAGTAGTCACTCGACTTTGGCATTGTTTAGTGTTTGCGCAGCAATTAAGTTAATTAACTCATTTGTGTTTTTTGCTAATTCAATTAGGTTGCAAAAGAATCAAATTTAAGACTATACAACCAGCGAAACCCGAAAAGAAAAGAAGCACAGCGACAAGCAACTAAATCAACGCCTTTAAGGAACCCAAAGTGATGAAATCTCAAGAAAAAAAGCAAAATTCATTGAAGTTGGCAAATCGAGTGAGGCTAATTTGATTTGGTGGCGAAGACAAAAAAGTTGGCGCAAAATCAGGAACAGAGCTAAAAAAGAAAAAAAAATATGAGAAATTAAAAAAGTGAAATCGGAAAAGTAAAAAAATCAAAAGTGATTGAGCACAAGCAAGTACGACACCGAATTAAGCCAAAAAGCGGCGATCAACACTAATTGTGTAAAGGGAAAAAATTATTACCGTTAAATTACGCAATTACCTTGATGTGCCGGGCAGCGTGAATTGGTGGGACAATCAAGGGCAAATAATAAAGAAAATTAAAAAAAAAGTGATAATAAAAATAAATAAAATAAAAAGAAATAAATCAATGGCACAAAAAAAAATAATCAAAATTAATAGTGACAGCCAATGTTAGTGGTAAAGCGAGGAAAGCAGCAATTAACAGCTCCCCACCACACCACAGAGCCGTGGCGTTAGGCTGTCGGCATCAATAGAGATCGACGATTGTCTGTACGACAATTTTGTTAATTAATTGACTTGTAATTAAATTAATACACAACTAAGCACACACATACATACAAGCACATACACACACAAAGCATTTAAACACGTAAAAGCGCACAGTCAACAGCGCGCAAACAGCCGCCGTGTCGTTGCAAGTTTGTCGCGGTCCAGTTCAGTCAGCGAAATTTGACACTGATTTGCGCTAATTTAATGATTTTCACTTGTTAACTGCCGCTGTCTGCTTCTCAACCCCCGCAGTCCATCTCCCTCCGCTGCTGAAATTGCCTCTGAGTGTGTGTGTGAGTGCGCGTATCGTTGTGCGTTTGAACGCAAGGTGTGCCAACGAGCGCATTACAATGCTTAACTATCACGAACCACAACATCTACAGCAACAACAACAGCAACAACAACAACACCATCAGCAACGGCAGTCACAGCCACAGCCGCCATTACCACAATTGAGTAGCTCAATTGCTAGCATCGACAATTTCTATTACCCACAAACGGCAAACGTGCCAACTCTGCTGACATTACAAAATCCTACTAATGCTGCTGGCGGCGGCAGTGGCGGCGGCGGCAGCAATCGCGGCACGAGAGGCAGCACGTCGTCAACGTTATCGGTATCCGTATCGGCATCATCGTTGGATCATCTGCACAGTCTGACGCAGCATAATGCTTTCGGCGTGCATAATTGCAATAATAACAATAATAGCAGCAACAACAACAGTAGTAGCAACAACAACAGTAGCAGCAGCAACAACTGCAATATCAATACCATTGATATGAGTCCAAACTCAACTGCCGCCAACACTGGTTATAATCATCAGCAACAACAACAACAACATCAGCAACAACAACTACAACTCCTTCAACCACCTCACCACCCACATACAGATGCCATAGCCGTCGGCGGTGGTAGTGCCCTAGGCTGTAGCAACTCCTGTTCACCGAATGAGATGACAAAAATCGAAGACAACAACAACTATCCTTCTTTACACACCGTCGTTGATGCCGACGGCAATAAACATTCTGAGAACGTGAAACGTTTCTCTGTGAACAATTTGTTAGAATTGGCCAATGATTGCCGCATTTCAGGCAAATTGCAACATCAGCACCAGCAGCACCAACAGCATCAGCGGCAACATCGTCACGAGCCAATGGAGGATGATTTGGATGACACGCAAATCAATGATTTAGGTGGGTCTACTTGAATTTTAATATATCTCCATACATACGAGTGCGTATTAGTGTGTATCTGATGTGTGTGCATATTCTTGAGCAAATAAATGACGAATTTTGGTCTCCAAGTGCTTCAAAATTTAAGGTTTATCCGCATAAAAAAGGTTTTTTCCTTAGTCCGAAAAAAAAATAATCCAACAGTGTCAAATCGCATGATCTCGGCGGTCAATTGACATCGCCAAGACGAAAGATTATGTGGCCAAGATATTTATATTCCCAGTAGCGCCATATTCGCTCCTGTTGTGTGCCATGTGGCATCATCTTGTAGAAACCACACATTGTTCAAAACATGTTCTTTAATTGCGGGCCAAAATAAATTAGGACCAACCACACCTCCGCACCAAATACGACATCTCTTCAATTATTTGAGGATTCTCAGTGCCCCAAGTGCAACAATTTTACTTATTTACGTATTCTCCGAGTGTAAAATATATTTGCCTTGTCGCTGCAGAAAATTTTGTTTCAAATTCGCCGTCCACTCTTTGTTATTCAAACACCCAATCGACGTTTGTACGGCATTGTGAATGACCAGCTGCTTACCGTTTTTGACTAAATTGTACTTTATGTGAGTGTAGGACTAAGTCCAAGTGCAAAATACGCCATTATGTGAAGTAGGAAAACTCTTGCTCGTGTTATGGACACATTCGGGTCTTCAGCTACACTATCACTTACAGTAACGACCGTAAAAGACCTTCAGCCGATCCAGTTTCATTAAAATTCTTTAAATCTTTACCAATTGCTTGAGTGGGGGGACGATTATTAGCATGATAATCTCCTCGAAAGGGGCATCGCCACAGTAGATGCTTCAAAAAATTTATTTCTTTTTATGGGTTAAAAATATTGTTTGGACCTTCTAGAATAGGGAACGAACTGTCTTATACGTCTCCGACATCGATTTCATTGAAATTACGAGCAGTTTTACTGTGCGCTTCGAGCCGTTCCGATACACATATACACGTATGTATATTGTATGTCTCTAAATTTTAAATCCATTTTTCTCGAAATACGTTTTTGAAGTTGGCTCGCGGCATAACTGAAGCAATATTCAATATTCTCAATTGGTTTTTTTCTTACACCATTTTAATATTATTTGAAAGAGAATGACGTATCTGATTTTCGATAATCTAATTTGAACTATAGTTATAAACAAGAGCCTTGTCAATATTTTTTAAAACCGTACGTCCATCCTCTAGCTAACCTCATGTAAATAACAAAAAAGGAAATTATTTTGTTGGATATTCTATTTTGCCCCCCTGTGCGCTGCAAGCCGCGGAGCTCTTAGAAGAAAAAACACTTTTCAAAAATGTCCATAGCTCCGACATATTAAAATATTTTTTTTGTTGTAAATAAAAGTTTTTCTTTTCAATTTGAAACTATTGGATGAGTGCATAAGTTCGTGCCCGATTTCAAGTGCAAACTACAAATGATTTTTTTTGAAGAAAGCGCTTTTATTAATCAACTATGTTTTCGCCATCATGTTCGGCAATCTACTCCCAACGTTCAAACAATTTACGTATACCTGATTCATAGAAATCGCGCGGTTTCTCGCTGCAAAAGGTGTCAAGGTGGTTTTTGACGTCTTCCACATTTTTAAATTTTTTTCCATTCAAATTGTTCTGCAGCGATCGAAACAAATGATAATCAGAAGGTACAATGTCGGGTGATGCGGCATGATTTCCCAATTCATCTCCTTCAGTTTGGCCAGGGTCGGTTTTGCAACATGTGGCCTGGCGTTGTCATGATGGAAAAGAACTCCTTTGCGATTGGCCAAAATCGGACGTTTTTCATCAATTGCTTTCTTCAATTCGACCAATTGCTGACAATACTTGTTGGCAGTGATCGTTTCTCCAGCTGGCAAGAGCTCAAAATAGATCACGCCTCGGATATCCCACCAAATGCACAGCAGTACCTTCATCGGATGCAATCCACCTTTCGACATCGGTTCCGCCCCTTCGTGTGCCTGTTTCCATGTTCTTTTGCGTTGAACATTGTTGTACAGGATCCATTTTTCATCACCAGTCACGAGCCGATCCAAAAAAGGTTCGTTTTTGATCCGTCGAAGCAAAGAAATTGCTGTTGACATACGGTCCACTTTGTTTTTTTCACTCAACTGATGTGGCACCCATGTATCGAGCTTCAAAGTGTACCCAACCTTTTTTAAACGACGAAACGCAGTTGATTTGTTGACGTTCAATTCACTGGCAACCTCTTCCGTCGAAATACGTGAGTTATTCGCAACTAAAGTCCTTAGAACATCGTCATCAAGCTCAGAAGGCCGTCCACTGCGAGGTTGATCTTCGAGGTTAAAATCTCCAGAACGAAATTTCGCGAACCATTTCTTTACTGTGCGGAGTGCTGGAGCACGGTCCAAATAAACTTCGCGAATATCTTTAGTTGCAGCGCCTACTGTTTTTCCTTTGCGGAATTCGTATAACATAATATGACGCATATGATCTTTTTCGTTGTCCATCTTCCATGCGTCTTTTCACTAAGCAACTCAAATCAAAATGAAGTTATTTTATGCTTGATTTACAGTTCGGACTGTCACCTTTCCAACGATATGTAATATGTATATATTTCTTTCACGAGGGCCACTCTCAAACGATTCGAACGGCATCCAGCGGAATCGGGCACGAACTTATGCACTCATCCAATAATAAGAAATCAAAATATTAAAATTGTATTGCCTTTCTTTCCACATAAAACGAGAAAATTCTAGAAAAAAGTTTAGTTTTTGGCGTGGACTCCTTAAAGCACGATACGTGGCCACGTTTGAATCACCACTTTTGTACTAGGTTTGTTGCATTGTGCGGTTATTAAGTGATTCATTTTCATAAATATCTGACATTTTACTAAAACAAAACATGTTTGGCTTAACAGTTAAATTTACTTGCTTACTTCATTGGCGTAGACACCGCCTACGCGATTATAGCCGAGTTAACAAATTGCGCCATTCGTTTCTTCCTTTTGCTGTTGGAGCCAATTGGAAATACCAAGTACAGCCCGATCCTTCTCTACCTGGTTTTTTCAACGGAGTGGAGTTCTTCCTCCTTCTTTGCCTCCACCGGCGGTTGATGCATCGAAAACTTTCAAAGCTGGAGTATTCGCATCCATCTGAACTACATGACCTAGCTATCGTAGGCTTCTTGATTCGCTCAACTAAATCAATGTTGCCGTATCACTTGTGCAGTTCATCGTTCCATAGTCCATAGGACCATAAATCTTACGCAAAACCTTTCTCTTGAAGACTCCTAAAGCTGTTGTTTTCGTCCACGCCGCCTCTGCGCTATAAAGCTGGACGGGAACGATGCGTGACTTGTAGAGTTTGGTTTTCGTTCGTCGGGAGAAGACTTTACTTTCCGATTGCCTACTCAGTCCAAAGTAGCAACTGTTGGCAAGAGTAATTCTGCGTTGGATTTCCAGACTGACATTGTTGTTGGTGTCGATGTTGATTCCTAGATAGACGAAATTATCTACGACTTCATCGTTAAGACTGTCAACAGTGACGTGGGAACCAAGTCGCGAATTCTATTGTATAACTGTTTGTGTGATGACAGGAGATATTTCGTCTTGCCTACATTCACTACCAGACCCATTTGCCTAGCTTCTTTATCGAGTCTGGAGAAAGCAGCACTAACGGTGTGTATGTTGAGGCCGATAATGTTAATATTATCGGCGTACTCCAATAGTTGTATACTATATATAGAAGATTATTTCTTCTCTAATCAGCTCTGCAGCTCTTCTTATTTTCTCCATTTTCAAATAAAAGAAGTCTCACGATAAGGAGTCGCCTTGTCGAAAACCTCGTTTTGGTATCGAATGACTCGGAGAGGTCCTTCTCGATCCTGACTGAGCTTTTGGTGTTGTTTAGCGTGTGTTAGTCGTATAAGTTTTGCGGAGATACCAAATTCAGACATAGCGGCGTATAGGTAGCTCTTATTCGTACTGTCGAAGGCGGCTTTAAAATCAACGAAGAGGTGGTGGGGGTCGATCTTTTCACGAGACTTTTCGAAGATTTGGTGCATGGTGCATATCTGGTCAATGGTTGACTTATCAGGTCTGGAGCCTCTCTGATAAGGTCCAATCAGGTTGTTGACGGTTGGCTTTAGTCTCTCATGCAATACGCTTGATAGGAGCTGAAATCCGATATTGAGGAGGCTTATTCCACGATAATTGGCGTCGACTATGGGATCCCCTTTTTATGGTTTGGGCAGAGCACACTTGAATTCCAATCGTCGGGCATGCTTACGTCCGACTATTTTCTGCAAAGTAGCTGATGTATGCGCCTTGTCAGCTCTTCGCCGCTTTGTTGTTTTTTAAGCGAGCGATTGAAAAGTAACCTCTTTGCACATAAAAAACAAAAAATTTTTTAATTATTTTTTATTATTTTATTCAACGTCATACCTTCTTAGCACGATTCACTTATTCCAGTGATTTTCCAACTTCTTGATCTTTTCTTTCGAAATGCTCTTGCGTTTGTGTTTTTGGTCCGGAGTGAGCACGCTCGACAGCCAGCGGCAGGATAGCACTTTCATGTGCTCAAAATATGGCGGACGTATTCAGTACTAATCCTCGCTCGTCTTCTGTGACCGCATCGGAGGCCCTGCCGCAACAGACTTGATCGATAGTGGAGTTGCGGCCACCACGAAACTCTCGAACCCAATATATGATGGTGTAATCTGACGGAGCATTAGCCCCATAATATTTATCCAACTTTTCTTTTGTGTCCTTCGCAAAATAATACAATAACAACCAACAGCTGTCAAACAAAAATTAAGTACAATATCAATAAGTAAAACGGACGATAACCTTTTTTGCAGTAACAGCGCACCTCCTTACTTTTCACCCCACCTGGTATATTGACAGTATGCTATTTTTGCTTTATAGAGAAAGGAATTCACTGATTCGACTTTTTGGTATAAGAAGAAGCAGCGGACGACGATTTTTCGAACAAAATC